CCGGTCCCTGCTGCTCCTGCTGCTCCTGGCGGGAGCGAGGGGCGGTAGCCCGGCACTGGCCCCTTTGTTCGAGGGAGGCTGCTGGGTAGGGTGGGAGAAAAAATCCCAATGAGGGTGTGGAAGAAGGAGGGGGAGAACAGTCGTGGGGTCGGACTGCTGAAAGCGTCCAGACTCTAACGCTCCTTTCTAACGCTCCTTACGGTCGGTTTTTTGTTGGTTTGGGGGGTTTTTTGGATTTGGTTTTTTTTTTTTTTCTTTTTTCTTTTTGAGGAGGAAAGAGGCTGGACCTGCATTTGACGCATTCAAATTCAAGTTTTCACAATCATTCACCATTAATGTCATGCACACGCAAATCCCACAAAATAAAGATGAAGTGCTCCCAACACGATTAGTGTCCTCTCCAAGAAGCAAATCCAGTTCAAATTTCCATTTGTGCAGATTCTTGTTACCGCTGTTCATCGCATTGCACGAAGTTACAGCAAACCCTCCTGGCACCGGCTGAACCCGATGCATTACCCCAAAGCGTTTTTCTGGATGCTGATGTTCCGCTCCCAAGGAACAATTGCGGTGCATTGAAAGCATTCTAACCCGGCTGTGGCACCCTTGGGAGCAAGGCATGAGACAGCTGTAGATGCAAACAGAGCAGGGACGTGAGGGCTGCGGGAGCCTGGCCAGCCCTGCAGTGCCGAGCACGCCGTCCCCTCCCCACTGCAGCAATCCCGTAATCAGTATTGATAATTTGTGCTCGGTCGGGGACTTAGCGCTGCAGAAGGCCTGTTAGGAATTCTGTCACAAGGGAAGGAAGGGCTCCTCAGCCTGGTGTTAATGATCCCTCATCACACAAATATAAAGATTTCTGCGGCAAGGGTGATGCCAGGAATCATTAGGTTTACCCAGAGACAGAGGGACTGTGTGGCGCCACTTTGTCTGTTAATCCCTTGTTAACGAGGCACCTACACCAGCTATAAAAAGCCATGCAGCCACCTAGCTCCAGTTTCCAAAAATACTATTTACAACAACATTCAATTATAAAATTAAAGTTACTTTATTAAAAGCATCTCCCATCTTTAAACTCACAAAGCTTAAAGGATTCTCCTCACCATTTCTTTAAACTATAACTTTCCTTGTTATCGTTATACATAGACAACATTTGTCTAGACAGCCTATTAAAATAAACCACTTTATTTCAAGAGTTACAACAAAGCAAGAAATTTTATTTTCATGTGGAAAAACAGATCCATTCTCAGTAATGCATATTTCCAGTTAGGGCTAAATGAGCTACATTTGTTCCTGTACTCAAACTTTACCCAGTAGAACACTGAAAGAACTACTGAGTGCCTGATTTTTTTCCTGTTGAGCACCAGATTTTGCAAAGTGGCAATAAAGGCTAGGTCCTGCTACCACTAGAGCCAGCAAAACATTTCTAATCAGCTTAAACCAGCCCACTATTATGTTTCTGGCCCTGGTCCAGCAAGGCACTTAATCAGGTGTCTGAGCATGTGAATAGTCCTACTGGCTTTGGACAGAACTCTTCACATAACTCAGGTTAGGCAGATGCAAAACACCTTGAACAAGCCTGTGTTCATATTCCACAATAGAAAGCAAAATTAAGCCTAAATTTCTATTAAGCTGTGTAAAATAAAAGGTTTTTCAGGGAAAGCTCCTTTTACTTATGTAGGAGTTTCAACAGCTGCAAGAACTTCTGGAGATCATTATACTCTGAATGCCCACAAGATTCTTCTTTCTGTTTAGTTTACATAGTATATGAATGATACATGCCACACAAGCATCTTTGGGGGTTTTTTTAAGTGTGTCTTTTCTTGAAATTCCATGTAACACTACTGTACAGAAATTCTGAGGGCTTTAAACTTCATCCTCCCCCTGACACCATCTTAATTATGTATTAGATAGAGGGACTCCTTCACACCTTAAGCTGCCAAGCAAACAGGAGGTGTGTTACATAAATCAGGGCCTTTGCCCTGATTTATGGCCCTCAATCAGGTCACTACAGACCAATCAGGCCACATATCTGGTTTGATAAACTTACTTAGTGTAAAGTACATCGATGGCAGTGTGAAGGTGAAGCAGTGTGTGATGCCATTGGAACTGAAAAAGTGTTTGAAATCATTATTTCATTGTTTTGTTGTGATGTTTTATTTAAAGACTATTTATTGTTCTAACATCTTCAGACAACCATCATATAGAAAATCTCAGTCCAGATTATGGTTCTGGTTTATTTTATAGGAAGTTATTTAACATAAATACGTGGGATATGTGTTAATAGTGTGTTATGGAAGTGTTTTAATGTCAACTCTTTTTGAGATAGTCAGGAACCCTGTAAGGTGATGAATGGGTGGGATTATGAGGATACAGGAATTGAGGCAGCGCCATGCTCCCTCTTTCTCAGATATAACAAATAATATATTGTCAGATATAAAATATCTGAGTGAGACTGATTGAACCATTGTAGAAGTACTTCAGAGTTGCTGTTCTGCTTTGTCATTTGCATTTTAGTTATAAGCTCAGACCTTGATACTTACCTTGATGGATGCAAGGCCACTGCTGAGTTTTTCTGTTAACTGAGTACAGCATTATTATTTTATCTGTTATGTAACATACATATGAAGTCATAAAGAAGTGTATGGTTGTTGAGTTTGACTGGTTACATTATTTTAATAAGTAGCCTTTTTGTACTGCAAAGGGGTAAGAGTTCTGCCTGTGGTCTGCCACTACACTTAAACAATTGCTTGATTGTCAACAATTGCACATGAGTAGTCATCTGAATAAGAATGGCAATGACAAGCTTCAAGTTAAACAACATATGGCTAAGTGCCAGGCTGAATTTGGACTGAACACGCTTCTTTCCATATTATTCAGTTTTTAGCTGAAGGTTTTAACCTTCCCCTTTTATAAATAAATGAATATTTGTCAGCTCTGAATTATTTCCAATGGCCACAGAATTACATGTCTGTAAATAGGAAGTTGTTTTAAGAGAAGAATGAACATAGGCAAGAAACAGAAAGTTATTTATTGTATCATAATTTTGGCAGAAATGTAATTTGACTGAGATACCACTATTTCAAATTTTTTTTAAGAACTAGGAGAAGACATCACAGAATGTGCTGGGTTGGAAGAGACCCATCAGGGTCACTGAGTCCAACTCCTGGCCCTGCACAGAACCACCCCCCAGACTCACACCATGTGCCTGAGAGCACTGTCCAAACATTTATTGAACTCTGTCAGGCTGGTGCTGGGACCACTTCCCTGTGGAGCCTGTTCCAGTGCCCAACAACCCTCTGGATGAAAAAAATGTTTTCCTAATATAATTTTGGTGTGATAAGGAAACTGAAGCGGTAGCATTTCAGTTAGTTTTTTTCTGTGAACTTTTATTACTGAGCTAATATAAAAATGTTGATAAGTAAAATTTACTAAAGAACTGAGGTTAACACCTATTCATATTCTTTTCTTGGTTTTTAAAGACTTGATTACTCTTCCTACTATTGAGAATTAAGACAGGAATAATTTTAAAAAGAGTCCATATGGCTAAGGATTTATATTGCCTCATAGCAGTTCTTTACTTACCCTGAGGTGTACAGGCAGGAGGGATGGAACGTCATCTATTCCATTTTCTTATGGAATATAACCCATAACACACTGAGGAATAAAAATAAACTTCAGCAGCTTGAACACTTCCAAAATGTTCTCTCACCTCCACCTCCATTACCATCACCTCTTTGTCCCAGTATAAGCTCTAGTTAGGCTAAAAACTTCCCTGTTTAATAATGTAATCCTGTAATTCATTCACATAGTTTTTGTGAATTTGAATTTTCTTTAATTTATTATTTAAGACTGAAATTTTTTTAC